GAATACTTACAGCTCTCTTTTCAGCAACGATAGTGTTCCAAAGCGTTTACGCGGCCTTGTGGGCAATGAATTATTTTCCCACATTCGAAATGTCTCAAACCTCTCGCTAATTTATTGCTGTTTATTTTAACAGTTTCATCCAAAACAAGGCAATAAAGTCGCTAAGACGCAATGAGCTTACTGAATGTTTCAGTCTATGAGAAATACTACTGTTAAGGAGAGAGTATATTAAAAGAACAAGAATTAAGAAGACAGAAGATGACGATTGACATTACATTTAAATTTTTGAAGATCAATCTTGATTGGGGAGCAAGAAACCGTAAGATAGTTCCACAAGTGATAAGTGCGATGAAAAACCTTTTAGCTAAGAACTTATGGTTACATCTATTTAATTGTAATTTGATGAGACCTTGCTTCTAATCTAGTACTGCGCTTAAATTCATAAAGTCTGGGTACCACAGCCGAAATTTTATCAGAATAATTACCATGAATATATCCATAGAAAAGCCACGTTGAAGCAACTCTACGACGGTGGGAAAGTGACTGAAGCCGAGATGCCAGGTCAGAACCAATAGCATTGTAGATTCTTCTTTAAATTTTTATCAAGAATCTCTAAATGCATAGCAGAAGCACCAAACTATATGTGGCAGCAATATTCAAAGTATGGGCGAATGGTAGAATTATAAATATGTAAGATGAATATTGGAGAGAAAAATTGTCTACCACGACACAATGAACCAACTTTCCGAGCAGCAGACATAACAATTGATTCAATATAATTTTTTTTCACTTCATGACAGCGTAAGGTGCAACGAGTCATTCTCCCGGTGGTTAGCATCAGCCGTACTGATAAGGCAGGTAGAAGGGGTCTCTTGGATGATTTTCCATTGAAAACATACTAAAGAACTTCATACCTTAGTTCCACCAGTTCAGCCCTTTACAGATAAGACCAGCTATATCAGTGGCGAATCGTCTTTTTCCCCCCCAAGAACCGCTGCTTTGTAGAACAGATTCTAGAGATGTTTCTCTAATCATTACTTGAAATATCAGTTGTTATAAGCTTGGATGTAAGTGTGGTGTCGTGCATAACGGCTCGGAATTGCAAATCGGAGAGTCGAGTTCTAATTCAAGTCAGGTACGTTATATTCAATTATGCGCAAACATCTTTATGAAAATGTATGAATCTACTTCTTCTCCATCTATTAATTTGTTGGATTTCTATCGGTAAATCAAGTAAAATGTTTTGTTTTTTGTTTTTTTATTCTAGCCAGGTGGCTTATTTATGTTGCTCGCCAATGAATACGAAGGAGTTCTTAAATGTTCTCATTCTAATCAAAACGTTCTTTTTTAACCTCCATCTTATTTCAGCTAAGACTTTCGAAAATGGTTCGAGTCATGGATAGCGTGAGAAATCTGAGAGACGACCTTCGAATTCCAGTTGGCTTCATTACTTTCACTTACGCGCAAAAAAAAAATAACTGAGGAAAGCTATGAATCCATCTCCTCCTCACAACTATGGGTTAACTAATAGGACTCGTATCTGTGGAAAATCATTGTTATTCTCCAAATATTTTTGATGTAATATTCACTCACAAAAAAGGAGAAATATTCTTACAATCCAAAATATTTCGATTTTAAATAACCCCAAAAAGTTGATAAGCCGTAAAAACAAATCCTTTTTTCTTTTAAAACAGAAATTTATTTATGGCATAGATCTATTTCTTACGCAGTATTAAAGACAATGTGCTCTTTTACTTCACTATAAATTTCTGTAAAATTCTTTGGCAAATATCTTATTATTGATAAGTTTTTATAATTTCTTTTTTATCTCCTTTCGATCTAGTTTGAAAGCTCTACTAGGGTACAATGACGCACAGGAAGGATCATGACTTAAATGCTTACGCAGATCCCAATCCTCAATATCAGTCAGTTAAGTGCCATGCGTGATACACGCTCAGGCGATCGACGTAACTTTCGATACATGACTGACAAGGCAGATTTTTTCCCGTATTAGGTTGCCATTTCTTTCTGCGATAGACCAGTTGCCATCCAAGGCTATAGAACTCGGTCTGTCCTGCTATTTACCCATTGCTGGGGGGAGAAAAGGAGGATTCATACCTTTCCCAAGAATATTAGCGCGTCAATGGATTCGACTGGAATTCGAACTCTGCAAAAGCAGATACAAAATCCAAAAGAAAGGAATAGCAACAGCAATTTCTTGTTCAAAGTGACAAGAGCTTCACCAGGCACCTGATACAAAAAATATATATACTCACAAAGGAAATTGGTAGAGCTTAGATACAGCTCCAGGATTGAACCATCATTATGTCTCTGCGTAAGAAAGCGCAGATCAGTCAGTTATTATGTGCCATGCGTGATACACGCTTAGGCGATCATGTATCTTTCGATACATAACTGACTGGGCAGATCTTTCCTGCAGTAGGTTGCTATTTCTTTCTGCGATAGACCAGTTGCCCTCCAAGGCTATAGAACTGGGTACCCATAGCTAGGAAAGAAGAGGATTCATACCTTTCCCAACGGTATTAGCACGTAATGGATTCGACTGGAATTCGAATTCGACTCTCCGATTCCTCAATATAGTAGAACACAAAAACTGAAGCCAACCGCATGCAATAATAGCACCATTTTTTTTTTCATTTTTCCTGCTGCTAGAATTTTTAGATTCATTGTATTTATCATATTTTAAGTTCTCGGTAACAGACGAAGAAACCTGTATTTTTTTTTTTTGTCCTTTCCTGTTGTTGACCAAATAAATTGTTGAAAGCAGACATAAATACTGCCAGTAGATATTCTTCAAGTTGTCATACAAGTAAATGTACTTAACAAGTAAACGTATGTCGCTGTCCTTTCGTCATGGTAAAGGGCACAGAAGTTAAACACCGCCATTTTAAATAACGTCAGTAAGCTCTTTTCTGCAATTTGATTGGACAGTCAATGTTCCATTTATAGCTATTAAGTCGTCAACTGATCGATTCATTTGACTTGAAAAGAAACGCAAGAAGCACGGTTTTTGTTGTTTTTACTTTTGCTTAAATGGATATTTTTATTGGTCATTCCTTGTGTTTTATAAGACCATGGATCTAAATCAGGCTTCAAATTATTTTGTCGTTTATTTATTTTAAGCAACGTAATTTTATCAACAATTGGATTTTTTTATATTTTATATGCTTAAACAGTGTCTCGCCTTGTTTCGGATACAGAATGGCATTTTCTGATGGTGTTCTGATGTTTATTTATAGTCAAGTAGAATTCGCAGATAAACGTCTGAAGAGCCTCGAAATTGATTTTTCTTTATCAGACTGGTGGGGGTGGTGGAATAAAACGGCTTTCTCTTGTATATAAACTCGTGGTGAGTGAGTAGGCATTGCTGTGAGTTCAATTCCTATCGTTGTAGTAGTTTTCTGATAACAGCTGTAGATATTATTTCTTTGAATAACATTTTCTCCATTATGAGAAGCATTTGTTTAATGTCATATCTCTTCGGAATGAAGACAGTTGTGGTTCTCTACACCGTCCCTTTCTTTATTATATATGAATTGCTATGCTTTCTTTTGAAACGGCTTACGGCCATATAACGTTGAAACTCCGATTCCTGTACAATCACTGAAATTTAAAAAAAACGTTCACCCTAGTCAGTACCTAGATGCTTTACGGCATATCAACCTCAATCGGTTATTTAATGACGACAATTTTTATTGCTGGTAATAATTTTTTTTTTGTCAAAAATCTATTTCTGTTAATATTTTTTTCCTTCAAAAATTTATTTCTCGTAATATTTTGTCCTCAAAAATGTATAGATGGTAATGTTTTTTTTCCTCAAAAACGTATTGCAAGTAAGTTTTTTTTTTTTTTTCGAAAATGATTGCTGCTAATAATTTTTTTTTTTTTTTTTTGTAAAAAATTTATTGCTGGTAATAATATTTTACAAAGTATTTCTGGTATTTTTACCTATTTTTACACTTTTTACCTATTTTTACACTTTCATAGTGTTTTGACCCTAGTTTGGGCGTTAACAATTTACTCATAGCTGGGACCCTAACAGGTGCTACCACCCTGGGTCATCTACAACTGTTATCAGAATACTACTACAACTAAGAGGTGATTCCACGCTCCTCAAAACCTCCTGATCAGAAGCCTTGCTGTTGGAGGTAGTTTATCGTCATACCCAGGACGGAGTACGTAGATTGAGGGACCGATTGGCAATACCAGGATCTGTAAGGCTAGGTATGCGAGTGGTGTAATGGATACTTGCTTGGAATTGTTTCTCGGAGAGCCGAGTTCCAATTCCAGTTGGGTTCGATATATTCACTTCGTGCAAGAAAGAAAATTTAAAATTTACTTTGAAAGAAAAATAAATATTACCAGCAATACATTTTAGTAACAAGCCAAAAAAGTTACCAACTATATGTTTTTTGTAAAAGAAATTACTAATTCTTCCAAGAAAATTAAATTTCAGCATTAATTGACGCATAAATAGTTGATATGCCACTAATAAAACAAACGAAAAAAAAACATTATGTCCCACTCTGACCCGATTACGGTTAAGGGTATCATTAAACCCAGAGTCAATAATCCATGGTAACAGTCGCAAATATATAGCTAGGACTGAGTGGGCACTTCGAGGCAGTGTAATGGTTAGCAAGCTTGTCTCGCTAGAACAATTACGACTGAGTAGTAAGTTCGATTCTCACTGGGTGCCCCGTACTTTCGGTCTTGTGCCACATCTAAGCTACGCTTGGAAAATCATGGGCATCTCGGCGTGGTGTAATGGTTAGCAAGTTTGTCTCGCTAGAACAATTACCACTGAGTAATGAGTTCGATTCTCACTGGGTGCCCCCTACTTTCGGCCTTGTGCCACATCTAAGCTACGCTTGGAAAATCACTATAGCTAGGACTGGGATGCGATTTACTGTAGGCACATCTTTCTGACTTGGAATTTTATCTTTCTGACTTTTCGTTTCTGTCGCAGATATAGAAGCATGATCGAGAACGCCGTTCAGTTGTTCGACATTGTCCAAGACAAGGGATTCTATCATAGACGTTTTGTGTAAAAGATCGAAAGGATTCCCAAGGTCAGGGATGAAACACCTCAAGCTAGTGTCAAATTCCGTATCGCAGAAAAATTACGGATTCGCAGAAGTCTCTCAATGACTAAGGAAACCTGAATGCCTTAAAAGAATTTTGACCAAAGTCGCAGTTCACTTCAGATGGCTAAATAGATGTTTCAACTAGCGTCTTCCATTATTCGAATTCTAATAGCGATACATAATGGTCTAAGCTTTGATTCCTTCATTCACTTCTTTTAATAGGGAAACAGTTGTATTTATAGCCACATCATGTTCCCGAACGATCACCAACGATAAGCAACGTCTAGCCTGGTCAGAACCTACATGGGAATACCAGGTGCTGTAAGCTTGTGTCGGGGTTGTAATGGATATTGGCTCGGAATTGTTGATCGGAGAAACTGTGTTCAAATTGCCCGTTGGGTTCGTTATATTCACTTACACGTAAATATCCATGGAAAAGTTATAAATCCACATCTTCTCTCCCTACTATGGGTTAATTAGTAAGACCATTAAACCAAAATTATCTCCAACACGAAAAAAATTCTTGAAATCTAAAAGTACGTTCTGGTTATAAATCACCTCCAAGGGCTGATAAGCGGGAGAAAACGAATCAGTAAATAAAAGGTTGGGAGATTTATGGCCACATCACGTTGAAACATTGGTTCCCGTACAATTTCCGAAGTTACGCAACGTTAGTACTTAGATGCATGACTACCCTGCACAGAGATTGAACTTACAATTCTATGAAAAGATAAATAACACATAGGAAATATTTATCAATCTAACATGTTTTACATTTATTAAAGCTTCGTCAGATAGCCTGTCCCAGCCAAAGACCCCACTGCTTAACTTAACATCATCAAGCACAACTTTTTACATCACAATACACGATTTGGAAACGTTCTCTCGAAAGATAGCCTGTACTTGCTAAAGTACAGCTGTTCATTATTACATCACTACGCGCAACTTGGGGACGATGTCTCGAAAGATATCCAGCACTTGACAAAATCCTTCTGCTCAACTTTACATAACCACGTTTGACTTGGGAACACTCTCTCAAAACAGAACCTGCACTTGGCAAATTCCCTTGGTCATTTTTACATAACCACGCACAACTTGTGAACACGCTATCGAAAAATAACCTACTCTTGTCAGTCTCTCTGCTCATCTTTGCATCACCACACACGACTTGGGGATACTCTCTCGAAAAAATAGCTTACACTTAGCAAAGTTCCCCAGCTCATTTTTAGATCATCACGGACGACTTGGGGACACTCTCTCGAAAGATAGCCTGTATCTACCGAAGTTCAATTGTTCAGCTTTACATCACCACGAGCGACTTAGGAAAGGTAGCCGGTACCTGCCGAAATCCATCTGCTCATATTTAAATCACCACGCGCAACTTGCGGACGCTCTCTCTCTCTCTCGAAAAAAAAGCCTGTACCTGCCGAAGTCCAACTGCGCATCTTTAAATCACCACACACGGAACTATTTCCAGTTCTAAACGTGACTCTTTATATAAGCATTCGAACGGATATTCTTTACGTCCAGTCAAGTTCCACTTGTTCGCAAATGTTATTTATTTCGTTTCTGTTAAGAGGATGTTTGCTTTGGCGATCCGTTGTTTTGTTTTGTTTTGGGGGGTTTTTTTGGGGGTTTTTTTTTTTTAGATCACAGAATTTACTGCTGGTTATTAAAAAAAAACACAAACCTCCGAAAGACCTCGATGTTATAGTGTGAAGTACACATCATGTCACATCTATATCACTAAATTCACGAACCAATGATTTAATTTCACAATGCTCTTAAAATCTATTTATATAGATATAGACTCAATGGAAAATGGTCCCACAATAAATGAATCGTACTAAGTTAGGACAAGACAAGATATCCCTAGACGGACTTCAGTACGGGAACAATCTATCCTCTGTAAATGCTTCAGTTCCAAATTACTTGGAACACCTTGTAGTTTTATGCTGCTTCCCGAAACGCTGCCTTATGGCCGCAGGGGCACCACACGTCCTGCAGTCGTTGGTGCGTCTAGGGCAGGGATAACCTGATGGACCTCGCTTCTTCGGGTTAGTTTTGGATTCACAGTTGACTTTCTCCTAGACTAATCGCCACCCAAACAAAAGAGCGCCATCACGAAACAAAGTAAAAATGAGGAAATTATTCCCATTAATTAATCCCTTTAAAACGATAAAGATAAGTTTAAAGTCAGGATGTTTGCTTTGGCGATCCGTTGTTTTGTTTTGTTTTGGGGGTTTTGGGTTTTTTTTTTATTTTTAGATCAGTTTACTGCTGGTTATTAAAAAAAAAACACAAACCTCCGAAAGTCACAGAAATAAAAGTTAACGTGTCATTTCCTGGAATGTATACCTAGCTGGCCTGGAATCTTTCTCATTCTCATATATTTCGATTTTAATCGATCCTATTCTGATATCGATCAATACGCTCCAGGATAATAATAATAATAATAATAATAATAATATTATATTATTATTATTATTATTATTATATTATTATTATTATTTCGAGTATTCTGTTTGACTAAATTATTATATTTGTACTGGTATCGTTTGGAGGCACGATGGCGTAATGGATAGCGGCTCGGAATGAGGAATCGGAGAGCCGAGTTCGAATTCCAGTCGAATCCACTACGTTCACCCTTGGGAAAGGTATGAATCCTTCTTCTCCCCACATCTAAGGATAAATAGCCGGACAGACCGGGTTCTATAGCCTTGGATGGTAAATAGTCTACCGCAGAAAGAAATGTCAAACTACTGCGTGGAAAATCTGCCTCGTCAGTCATATATCGAAAGATACATGATCGTCTAAGCGTGTATCACGCATGGCACATAACTGACTGGTATCGTTTACATGTGACAGCAACAATCACTTCAATATTCTAACTAATTTTACTTATAATTCTACTTGATTAAATGATTTCAACTGAAATTTCCATTTTTTTCTTATCGTTTTGCAAGATTATTGTATACTGTTCCTAGTATTCCAGTAAGGATGGATACTACTGTCATTTTTATATTTCGCAGTATTGTCCGTTCCCTGACAATACCCAGGTATGTATTTTCCTTATATTTATTTTATTCTACAATAGTGTAGTTTTTAGAAACTGTGGCATCCATTAACAAATTTACTTTTTCTGCTCTGTTATTATTGGGACAGTTACGTTGGCCTATGATAAGATGTTCCGTTTGAATTTCAAAGTCACGTTTGATAATTTGTTATATATTTGCCGCCATAGCTTCCAGCTCTTACGGTTTATTTGGTTCTTTCTTTCCTTTGTCATTGACTGATACCTTTTTTCTTTTCTTTTCTTAAACTGTTTAAGTAATCGCTTCGTGTTTTCTTTCTTTTTCGTATAGATTCATTTCCTTTCTTTCTTTCTTAACCCCCTTAAGTAGCCGTTTCTTATTTTCTTTCTTTTCCGGTTCATTCATTAAGCCTACTTTCTTTCTTTCTTTCTTTGGCGCTTTCTTTCTTTTCTTGCTATCGATTGTTTCGTTTGATCAGTACACCATTTTCTTTCTCGACGACGCCACAAACCAAATGCTCAATATCTCGTGTAGGTTTTATTTTTAGTTTTTGATTTATTTTATTCTTCCTTTGTTTTGTTCGTTCGGTCATTTCCGTCTAACTTCGGATTTACATCGATCTGGAAAAACCAATCATTTTTCACCATTTTAAGACGTTCTTTCTTGATCAATTACGACCTTCGTTTATCTCTCCATATAAATCATTATTTTTGTCCAAGCATAATACCCGTAAAAAATAACAGATTTCTACATTGACAAATGTCTAGGATAAGAGCGTCTGTGAGTTTCGGGTTTTGATTAATTTATTTTTTACGGTTTATCAACATTTTGTAAGTTATTTAAAGCTATAAAATATTTCTAGATTGTAAGAATTTCGGTGAGGGGGGATAGTAATGGTTTATTAATACAAGTAATACTAATTAACCCATAGCTGGTGGAGAAGAGGTGAATTCAAACCTTTTCTAAATGTTTGTGCGTAAGTAAATATAACGATCCATACTGGAATTGAACTCGGCTCTACCGATTTCCAACTCCGAGCCGTTATCCATTACACCATATCCAAGCTTAGAGCACATGGTATTCCTAAGCGGTCATCCACTGTTCTTTTAGGTTCTCATCGCATTGCTGGGTGTATTTATATTCTTGTTATATTTCTGGGTGTATTTATATTGTTGTCGCATGTCTACGAGTATTTTCTCGTCATATTACTAACTGGGTGTGTTTATATTATTGTCGTATTGCTTAGTGTATTTTATTCTAGTTGAATTGATGTGTACATTTATGTTCTCGTCACTTTGCTAGGTATATTTACCCGGCCACTCCACCAAGCCTGGGTGTAACACAAGGTTGTTTTAACATGGGGAACGTCATTCACATACTTATGCATGTGGGCCATGGACAAAAATTGATTTTTTGACCAACCCCCACGACTTCTGTCACGCTGGCATCGGTATTAAACCGATCCAACCTTTTTAGTGCAATGAGGAAGGTGCAGCCACAGGCTTGGAATCCCCGGGACTGAGCAACTTATCCCATCTAAAATTAGGAGAATCATGGCTCCACTCCCAGCGCAGGGACGTTAAAGACTCATTGACAATGGTTAACACTAGTGCCAGGTAAGTATTTATATTCTAGTTGATGGGCGTATTTTATTCGAGTTGCATTCATGCCCGTATTCATATTCTCGTCGCATCGCCGCGTGTATTTATATTCTCGTTGAAATTATATGTGCATTTATATTCTTTTTGAACTGGTGGGTGTATTTATAATCCAGATGAAGTGATAGGTGTATTTATATTCCCGTTAAATTGATGAGTGTATTTCTATTCTAGTCGAATTGCTACGCGTACAATACGCGCAGTAATAAATACGCGCGCCAGTTCGACTATAATACACCGATCAATTCAACGAGAATTCGAAAATACACCCATCATTTCAGCAAGTATTCGAAAATACACCCATCAATTCAGTAAGTATTGGAAATACACCCATCAATTCAACAAGAATTCAAGAATACACCCATCGAGAATTCGACAATAAGCTCATCAATTCAACTAGGATACACCCATCAATTCAACAAGAAATTGAGAATACACCCATCAATTCAACAAGAATTCGAAAATATGCTCATCAATTCAACGTGGATACACCCATCAATTCAACCAGAATTCGCATCAATTACTGACTATATTTACGAGTATATTCTTCGCGTCGAATTAGTGTGTATTTGTATTCTCATCGTCTTGTTTATCGACCCGAGATCAAAGAGAATTATCCCCTCATTTTAGATCTGTGAAGACGCTTGTTTCCGGGGATTGGAAGCCTGCAGTAGAACTTTTCTGGGTACACTAAGATCGGTAGGATCTGTGTAATATCGACGCCATTGTGACAGGGTGGGTCGCGGGGACTTGAGCAATTTTTGCCCTTGGTCTATCTGTGCACGTATGGGTTCCGCACATAAAAAACATACATTGTTTCACATCCCTAATGGAGAGGTCAGATAAATAAATTTATATTTATTCACTTCTATTTTGCCGCTTTGTATACTGTCGGTTCCGTTCTGCTTGTTGCATCAAATCTGTGTTGCCTTTGCTATTGTAAAACCTTGTGCATCGTCATGTGTTTCTTTGTCCCCTGATACATTGATTTAAATTCTTTTGTAGTTCAGCTAAGAAATGCCTTCTATGTCTGTCACTATCGATTCTGCCTATGTGTTGATTCTTTTTATCAGGTTTCTGCTATTTTGTTAGGTTTCTTCTTAAGATATTATTTTATTCTTTCATCTCTTTATTCCTTCTTGCTTTACCGGGCAACATTTGAATACTCCGAGGAATTGAGTGATCTCTTGCTTTTAATGACCTTACTTGTTATCATTTAAGCCGGCTCTATTTATTGTTCCTGATCATCTTCTGTCTATTACTAAAGTTGCGCATTTTTATATCCGAAATTCCATTCTCACGTTGTCGCTGAACCATTAAAATTTGCTGAGTGTTTCAGTGTATTCCTTATTCTTACCAAATCATTTTGCGTTGCCAAGAAAAAGTAGTTGATTTTTTTTTATTTGTATTGGACAAACATGATCCTTTGTACTACTTATATCCGATGGTATTACAGCAATGGAACTTGTGGAAACAGTCCTTCCCTAAAATCCCATTTTTTAATACTTAACATCTACATTATACTCACCACCGACGGTTAATTACTTTAATCGTTCAGTTTTCCATCCATACAGTTAGTCATAAATTCCTCGACAGATTAGATAATTTAGAATATTCTGAGACACTCGAGTATCCAGCCATCATATACCTTTTTGTAATAAATTCATTTCATTGCAAGAGTTAAATTTTCTATCAATGGATATTTTTTTCTATTATTCGATGTTTCTACTTCTATGGTACGCATGTCATTGGTCTGCAGTTGTTCGCCTGGGTTTTCAGCTGCAGATTAGACAATTTGGAATATTCTGTGGTATTCGAGTATCCTGTTATAGAGTACTCTATCTTATATGACTGAAAAATTTTAAAATTTCTTCTATCAATGGATTCCTATATTTTTCTAATATTCGATGTTTCCACTTCAATGGTACGCGCGTGATTGGTCTGTAACTGTTCCTCTGTGATTTTCTTTTTCGTTGCCTCTTTCGATGAGAGTTGTACTGTCTGTGGCCAACCGTTCTGAAACTTTCCCCTATCTTTGAACAGGTCTGAAGCTGCTGAATGAGTCTGTCGTTTGGCATGCTGAAACTCATTACCGATATTCATGTAAATCATCATGCTTTGATGATCTCTCGTTAGGTAAATCTTTGGAGTGTGCTTTCAGGTTGCATACATTTTTTTTTTCTATTTCTAGAATATAATTTTTTTTCACGTATGTCTTATTATCCATTCTGGTGCTTCGATATGATTATGAGATCTGTCTTCTGTTCCGGAAATGGTGCCTGGTTTTACTATTTATCTATTTCTCTTTTCTCTACCGTTCATTGTTTGAGAAAGTGTATCAGGCAATTTTTTTTTTTTTTTTTTGTACTTTTATGCTGTCTTGCTCCTTTAAGCAGTTTCCTTCTTTGGTATATTCCTTCTACGTCTGCGTCTATTGCTTGTTTTTTTCCTATTTTCTGTGTCATATACTCTATTTCATAGTCTACTAATGCTATACTTGTCTTTCAGTAGCTTTGTGCATTTTTGTAGTTTGGAGACCTGTCGTTCTATATTTATTTCCCAATCTGGTTTGATCTTTCTCTTGGTGGAGGTTGCCTTTGATATTTTAAGCATTTCAGTTACGATTGTTGCCCTGCGTATATGATGTTATTAGGCTCCATTAGAGCTTTCGTTACTGTCATTCTTTCATTAACTCGCAGGATGGTAGTGATTTTCTAAGCACAGCTTAGATGTGGCACAAGACCGAAAGTATGGGATAGAACTCACTATTCAGTCGTAATTGATCTAGTAAGACAAGCTTTCTAACCATTACACCACATCGAGGTGCCCAACTCGCAGGATGTTAGGAGATTCTTCGTTTACTTGATAGATTTTTTAGTATATCTACTATTTACGGTGCTTGCTGCTGTTCCCGCAGCTTATCTCTAAATTGTTGTTTATATTTTGTTTTAATTTAAAGCAAGAAGAAAGGAATAACCATTAATTTTAAGAAGACAGAATGTTTTCCTCTAAACAAGTGGAACACCCCGAGATTCGAACTACGAATGGAGATTTCAAAATCAAACAAGCACAGGTGTTTCCAGAAAATGGAAAAATTTGAAACCCTGAAGGCGTATTGGAATAATGTCTTCCAAAATCTAAACAAAGTACAGACAAACCTCTCATCAACGCAGTCAATCAACGGACTTCGGATGCAACGAACAAAATCTACAGGCAAAATAAAAAGTATTCTGGGGAGAAAACATCCAAATCATCATCGATGTATTTGAAACTTTGCGGGCTTAGCGAAACGAGTCGTATTAGTTCTTGGCGGCAGTGGCGGGCCTTTCAATTGTAAACAAAGACGGGTACGTGAGAAAGTAGCTGTGAGAAATCTATTATTTTTGTTATTTTGATTAATATATTAATTGCTCTGCCCGCATCAAAGCAGAAAGAAAGGGTAAAAAGGAAGCGTACAAAGTTAAGTATCAGTGACAAATTAGAGCTTCTTCTATCTACAGAAAATCAACTTTAACGGACCACTCCATATTATTCCGTTGACCAGAGGTTTGCCTGTAATAAAATATAGGAAAATGTCGTTAGAAAGAAAAATGGTGAAACGCTGTGTAATATCAATATCGCTATATGGTAGTGAATGCCGGATAATTTCCGCTCAGGTGAATAGAAATGTTGTTCAACAGAAGGATGTTGATGAACGAAACATATAATCAACGAAGAAGCTTTATGGAAAAAATGAAATAAGAGACAGGTTTCATTCTTCAACTCATTGTGGCTTCGAAATATTATTGAATTTTCCTCCAATTCCAATATTTTTCATTTTCTTCCTGTCTCATTTTTTTCAATCATTTTCAATCTCTTCCTGACTCATTTTACTTCTCTTTTTCTTTCTTGAAATCATTCTTTGCTTCTAATTCATTTTTATTTAATATTTTTCATTCTCTTCCCGTTTCGTTTTTCTTCTCTCCTTTTTTTCTTTAAATCATTTTTGCTTTTCCCCCATTCGATTTCATTTAATATTTTTCATTTTCTTCCTGTCAAATCTGTCTTTTCTTCTTTCTTTCTACAAACCATTTTTTTTCTTCAAATTCGTTTTAGTTTAATGTTTTTCATTCTCTTCCTGACTCATTTTTCTTTCTTTCCTGGAATCATTTTTGCTTTTCCACCAATTCGTTTTCATTTAATCTTTTTCATTCTCTTCCTCTCTCATTTTTCTTCAATAGACTTATGCTTTTCCCCGCATCTGTTTTCATTTCATCCTGTCTCATTTTTCCTCTCTTATTTCCTGAAATTATTTTTCCTTTTTCCTCCAGTGTATTTTCATTAAATATTTTTCATTCTCTTCCTCTCTCATTTTTCTTCTCATCTTTCTTTCTTTAAAACATTTTTGCCTTTTCCCCCAATTCATTGTCGTTTAATGTTTTCCCTTGTCTTCCTTTCTCATTTCTCTTCCTTTCTTTCTTTAAAACATTTTTGCTTCCCACCATTTTTTTTCATTTAATATTTTTCATTCTCTCATTTGTTTCTTTAAATCATTTTTGCTTTTCCCTAATTTCTTTTCATTTAATAGTTTTCCTTCTCTTACTGTTTTGTTTTTCTTCTATTCTTTCTTTCTTTAAATCATTTTTGATTTTCGCCAATTCGTTTTCATTTAATCTTTTTTCTTTCTTCCCTTAAACAATTTGTCTTTCAAAATTGCATTCGTACTTAACACGCCTCTTCTTCTAATTTGTCTTCACAGTATGCGGATCGTCGAAGGAATTTGAGTCAAATGAAATGTTTTTGCAATTCTAATCAAATTATATAAGCTATATGATAGCAAAGGGAAAGGACACGAAAACACTAACCATTAACCTTCAAGAAAACGTAATATATGACCGTTATAAAAAGTGACAGCCAGGGGTGTGAACTTGAAGCAAGTACAGAAATTTAATTATTATGTATAGTGCAATATCAGACACAGCAGCATGTCACTATATTTGAAAGAACGTCCAAATATTAAAATATATCTTCCTGAAACTCAGTGAAATATTAAGTCATAGGTCACTTTCGAAAGGAAATAAAGAAAAAAGTGTTAAACATCTATTCTCCTAACATAACAGTGACCCTTGGAAGAATGAAAAAGAGACACAGATCATTAAAGATGTAGTTCAACAGACGTATGTCGTGAATACCATGGACTGAACACGTGAACAATAAGGATGGCAAATGGGAGTTAAAAGTACAGATTCTTATAATCAGAACGATACAGATGAAATATAAAAAAAAAAAATGAGGAAGAAGCGCTTGGAAAATGTAACTCACACAGGCTCTATTGAAGGCAATTCGTATAGATAGAAACATCGAGTAAGCTATTTAACAAGTTTGTGAATGGATAGCAGAGCTAGTTTTAAAAAATGGGATGATAGAGTTAAACGCGGTTTAAAGTTACAATGAACTATCTTTCTTACCATAAATATGCCTTGTGAGGATTAAATTTTCCAAGCTCTTCTTCCTTATTATGTTTCCAAGAGATTCCATTTTCTTATTCTTAGTATATCTTTTCTTTCCGTTGCCATTTTCTTTAAGTCTTCGTTGTTGCTTAGTCGCTCCGTCCATGGAAATTTCAGATCTTTCTGTATAACAACATTTATGCTGCGTTCAGTTTTATTTCCTCGTGTGTGGTGATATTCACTAACATATTAGACATTGAACACTATTTCTTTGTTTAATTTTTTCCGTTTCTTAGTATCTTGCTTACTTTTTGGCATGCCTCTCTCGCTAGTTCAAAGTGTGTTCGGATCTCCGTGTTGCATTTTCCATCCTCTCTGTTAAAACGCTTCCCAGATATTTGAAATTCTTCACCAGCTTTATGTTTATGTCTCCACTTCGTAACTCGCATCTTGGAATTTTTTCTCTGATTACCATACTTTCTGTCTCCTTGCAGTTAATGGTTAGTTTTTTTTTCTCGCTTTCTCCTACCACCCAGTCTAGAAGGTCCCGTAGTTTCCCTTCCGAGTCAGCCATCAAATCATATCATTTGTGTATCCTAGGAAACTTGAGTTTTCTGAGCGGAAATTTTGACACTCACAAGAAATAGTGGCTGTCGAAAGGGGACGACCGAGTAACCTAACGAGTTTGAGTGAATGGATGTCAGGTTGAGGACTAAGGGGCGTAGTCAAGGATCAAATGTTGTTATGGGGTGGAAAGCTGTGGAAGGGCTTTATAGTTCACGCCCTGAAGGGACACGGCACATATGAGAAGCAAAAAATATAATCAGACGATGAGCACGCATCTGTTTCAGAAGGTATTCTGTATCATTTTTAAAATTTTTCGCCAATAAATCTTGACTTTCTGTCGACGATGCGAAAGGCAAATTGGTAAGCACGTTTTCTTTCCTAAAGAAACCACAATGAAGGATGAAGCCGGAGAGTTAATCTTCTTTTTTTTTTTTTCTTTTTAAGTTTTGACTACATTTCTTTCTTTTTTTTTTTTTTCATTTAATTTCTTCTTTGTTTTCCTTCTAACCTTTCTAACCTGAATTTTTTCCTTCTTTCTCTCCTTTTTTCCTTCTTTCTCTCCTTTTTTCCTTCTTTCTCTCCTTTTTTCCTTCTTTCTCTCCTTTTTCCTCCTTTCTCTTTCTTTTTCCTTCTTTCTCTCCTTTTTCCTCCTTTCTCTCCTTTTTCTTCCTTTCTCTCTCCTTTTCTCGCCTTCTTTCTTCCTACCATTTCTCTTTTTCTTTTTCCAAGTTTCTTTTCTTCTTTCTTTTTGTCTTTAACCTTCATTTTCTCCCTTTCACCCACGTTTTCCGTTCTTTCTTAGTTTCTCTTTTACCATTTTTGTGTTTTTTTCTTCTTCGCTATCTTATTTATTTATTTCGTTCTTCCTGTCTTGCTTCTTTCCAATTTTTATCTTTTTTGTTTCTTTCTTTCTCTTTCTTTCTTTGTGCTCTTCTTTCTTTCTTGTTTGCTTGTTTCTTTGTTTCGTATCTTTTTTCTCTCTTTCTTCCTTTTACTCTCACTTTTGTCTCTCCCTTTTCCATCCCTCTTCTTTTTTACTTTTCCGACTATTTTTTTCTTTTTTATTCTGCTTCCTTTCCTCCTTTCCCCTTTTTTCCTTTTACTAATCTTTCTCCATTTTCTTTTCCTTTTTCCTCCTCTTACTGTCTTTCCCTCTCTTTCACCCTTTTCCCGACGTTTCTTTTACTCCCTCGTTCCTTTGTCTTTCTTCATTTTTTATTATTTTTACGTTAGACATTTTTCTTGTTCACTTGCTTTTACTCTACTTTCTTTCTCTCTTTTCCTTCTTTTTCCCGTTTTTCTTTCTTTTTTTGCCCTCTTTCTTTCATTTTTCACTTTCTTTTTCTCATTTTTCTTCCTTTTTTCTTGTTTCCCCTTTTTTCTTTCTTTTTCCTTCTTTCTTTCCTTTTCTCACCTTTTTCTTCCTTTCTCTTCTCTTTCCGATTTCCTGTCTTTCTTTCTTACATTCGTTCTTTACTCCTTCCTTCCTTCCTTCCTTCCTTCCTTCCTTCTTTCTTTCTTTCTTTTCTCCTTGGCTCTTTCTTCATATTAACTCAAGTTAGACATGCGCAAAACCTGATAATCCTGAATTAATCTGAGTATTCTTTCTTTCCTTTTTTTTCTATTTTCTGTCCTTTCCTTTCTATCCTATCTCTGTTGTGTTAAACATTCTATAATTGTGCTGCTGTTCTTCCCACCACCTTTTTTTTTACCTTCACTCATTTTTCAGTTCAACCATTTTTGGAAAAGAATTCTTTGTGCCATGAAACAGTCTTTCTTTGTTTCTTTATCTCCCAATTCTATTTATTTTTTTCCTTGTTTTTGAAGGTAATAACCTAGTTTGACACAAGGCCACTAGTACGGGTAACACATTGAGGATAAAGCTTAAGACACTAGTAACAATATGTGTGACTAGCTTGTTAAACACCACTCACTAAAGAGAGAATTATTCCTTGTCTCAATTATACTGCATCTCACTTTTTGCATTTCGTTCTATCTTTACCTCTCTTTCTCTGTTTCCTTTCTCCATTTTTCTCATCATCTCTTTATCTATATGTTTCTATCTGTTTCTAATCTCTCTTTTTCTCTCTCCCTCTATGTCCATTAGTTATTCTCTGCATTCTCATCTTATTTTCTTTCTTCAGACTTTCTCAAGTCCCTTTTTCTTTCATATTTCAATTGACATAATTTTAAGTTCAATAGTCCTTCATTCTTCCCTTCCTTACCTATACACACACGCACTTGCATTTATATATATATATATATATATATATATATATATATATATATATAAAAAGTGTGTGTGTGTGTGTTCTAATAATTTGGACCGATGATCCAATAGAGAAATAAATAAATTTTTATCAATAACACTGATTTATTTACTACTGACTTTGATCCGTCTTAATGAAACACCCTTTAGAATTGTTGATATTACATCGCAGTTTAGCACTATTTTCTTTCTTAGATGTTTCTGATGTAATTTCCTAATAATATATATATATATATATATATATATATATATATATATATATATATATATATATATATACGTTCATTGTTAAATCTATAGAAGCCTTTGATACTAAACTCAGTTGTATTATTATTCGGGTGTTGAAGATGAGGGCATTTCGAAGATGAGCCAAGTCAGAAAGAAATAGTCTTTGAGGAATGGCAACTAGTTCCCAAATTGATTCATCTTCTTCGATTATTGGTCTAGCTTACAGTCAACTTCACAACGCAGAATCCGCGTAAAGAAAAAAGGGAAGAAAACTTGAAATTGTTTGTATAAGACACATAATCTCGACAGATCGATTTTACAGATAATCAATTAGTTTAACAACCAATGAAATCCCAGATGAATTCAACAGTCATTTATGCACGAACTAAAAACGCAACGTCCTTCGATGGGCAGGAATTTTCAGTTTTGATTCGGATTTTATTTTATCTTCTCTTCTTCTTAGCTGCTTTTCTCACCACGCTTCAACCGTTGCAATCTCAGTCCTTCCTCAGGTATCAGATTTATCCATTTAAAGAAATACTTAATGAATGATTGCATCTAATGGAATAAGTTTTATGGTTTCTATTTCTGCAGTTATAAGACTTGGTAAGTATTCATTTCCTAAATGAAAGCCGTAAAAAAGTTTTCTTCATCAATCTATAAAGGCAACTAAATAGGACAAACACTTGAGAAAAAAATAAAGCACTACAGGCTTACAGCTATTAAACGTTGAAACTCCAGTTACATTACGATCAACGAAGTTAAGTAACGTTGACCTTGGTCAGTACCTAGATGAGTGACCACTTGTATACTTAGATGTGTGGTGGGCTAAAGGATAATGGCTATTTCTAATCGGAGAACCGAATTCAAATTCCAGCTCGGTTTATTATATTTCCATTCTCAATTTGAGGACGGTATGAATCCACCTCTCTTTTCTTCTGCTATGTGTTAATTAGTATGGTTTGTACCAATAAATTATTATTATCTCAAAAAAATTCTTACAATTTAAAAATATCTCATGGCTTTCAATAACCTACCAAGGGTTGATAAACCGTAAAAACACGAATCAATCCACAAAATATTACATTTGAAACAAAATACATTATTTTAATCAAAATATGCGCCTTTGATACCAAGTGTTTTTAACCAATATGTTATCTTGGTTGAGCAATGCAAGAGTTGTTCAAAAAGTTCTGAGCCTCACCAAGAAGCAGTTGGAGAAATAAGACAGTTATCCACTATTTTTCAATATAGTCTCCCTTGACATAAATAGTCCAACGATGCTAGAGGATTGAAATCGCATCACGAAAGAAGGTGGCGCCCTTGTCTTTCAAAATTTCCTCCGCAGCACATATGATTTCATCATTGCTTCCAAAATGGCGACCACACTAGTGGAATTTGAGTTCAGGGAACATGGAAATGTTAGATGGAGCTAGGTAGGGGGAATAAAGGAGATAGGGTAGTAATTCAAGGCCACTGTTGACTGCTTCAGCTACTGCAACCTGATCAGTGTAATCTGGGGGCGTTATCCTGGAGCAAGAGCACATCTGCCCTCAGCTTATCTCTGTATTTCATCTTGATTGCTTCCTTCAATTGTCCTAATTCTGAATAGTACTGTTTATTAATAGTTTTTTCCCCTTTCCAGGTAGTTTTCAGAATATAAAACAAGCCATCACCTTGCCAAGAGACGCTACCTGCTTGAACTTCTTAGAGGGTGGAGAATCAGAGTGTTTCTACTGTTTGCTATGAATCATTCATTCAGATTCGAAGTAGTCAACCCAGGTTTCATCTTGAAATACTAATCTACAGTGAAAATTCTCAAGGTCAACCTGGAAGCGAGTAAGTATTAATCCTTTTCAGCTTCTGCTCTGGAGTCAGCATTCTTGGGGCTCATCTTGCAGACAGTATGCTCATCCCCTAGATATCAATTAAAATAGTATTGACTGAACCAGCAAGTGTCCGTACCATATCGTCATGGATTTCCTTGGGTGCCATACCTTTCTTTTGCGGATACTTTATAACTACTCCAGCCTCTGTTTTGTCCATTTTTAAATTTGTTGCACAACTCTCGCCTTTAACTGGGCCTCCCCTGCACAGAAATTAGAACAGAAATCTGAATAAGTTTTTTTCCGGTTTTATAAGTGGTAGGGTGTTGCCACAACAAAAATGTTCAGCTGTGGCCCATCTTTCTGGATGATAGGCCGATATACTGATTATGTTCACCACTGTCAATGGTGTCTAAGGATCGGAATTAACAAGTTCTTTCGAATATAAATGTCGTAACAAAAACACATAAAGTAGGTCTCATTTCTTAGAGCTTTAAGAAATTGCAAACGAGGCCGCGGGAAGGCCCGGAAAATACAAGTCACAATCTCCCGACGAGGCATCGATCATACATGTTACACTCTTATCTATACCGAGATAGGAATAACAAGCAGAATGTGTAGCACTTCCTGATTGATTGTTACCATCTCGCTTTCACTTCATAGCGATTTTATAGTGAAAGGAACATGAGGGACATATTCGAAAATGTTGATTTCGATGGCCTACTGTCCTTCATAAAGGGAATTGGTCTATGTCCATAATTATGAGGATGTGATGAGACTGTTGTGATTTGAAAATCTGTGATTTAAAACAGACTGTTGACCTCAGTGACCATTATATTCATACACACGCTCTGAAATTGGGCACTTTTAGCCATAAATATAGCATACTTTAAAACTATACTTTTATCACATGTATAAATAAAAACGGTAAACTTATCTTTACCTACCCGTTTCGTCATTTAACAAACTTTATCAAGGTATATGAAAGGATTTTATTTTACTTTGATAAAGTCCATCAGAGGATAAAACGTGTTGATAAAGAAAGGTTTTCCTTTTGTCTTTCCTCATATTGTATTTTTGCATATATATTTTTATATCTGAATTTTAACACAAACTGCATATATACAGAAGATTAAAAAAAATATAGAAATGTTCTTATTTATATTATTTGGACTGTTATCCTCATCTTCGTTGCCATATTCACTATAGCAATAAAGATTAGGATAACAGTACGAATAATGTAAATAATGTAAATAATCATAATACCTCATCTCACAGCCAAATATAGAAATGTTCTTGATGGTAATTAATATAGAAAGGCTAACATTAAAAATATTAAACCATTATTATTTTTGTCCTATTGCGTTAACTTTTCTTTCACTTTCCTAATTATTATGAATCACGCTTGGCAGGACATGTGACCCTTAACAGCCAATTAGTGTCGCCCTGGTCGGAACAATGAATAGTTTGGGGATAAACGTCGTGAAGAGGAGATACTTCCTGGACACGTGAGAAAACACTTCCGCTTGCAGCATGATGTGCTGGATTTGTGAATAATAACTGATTTTTGTAATATTCGCTACTTTTTTCTTTTCTGTGTCGGCGAGAAGGCAAGAAACACTTTTTTCTACATTTTTTAACACGTTCTTTTTATAAAGCATTCAGATAGTCTTCCGACTTCTCATTAGATGACTCTATAATTTTTGTATTGTTGGATAAATATTAGCAGGTACTATTAATACTGTCCACATATACTTTGTAAAGCCACCAGTCCACTGAGATGTATATACTTTGTCCTGGAAGTAACAATAAAAATAAATACAAAAGAAAAACAGGTTTCGGTAGTTAATCATCAAGCTAAATTTAAAATTAGTCAAAAGTAACATTCTGGTGATGTTTATAGCCATGTCGAATAAAAGACTTGGACATCACATGTTCGTGAATGTTTTTAAAGTTGAGGTGTCACAATATAGGGACGATCTCACCCTCTCAGCCTCCAAAGTTGTTTTAGTTAAGTGACACGATTATACGTCACAAGTGACTGACTTTAACTGCAGGATATCACAAACTGGAGCTAGTGTTTACTACTGTTTTAACTCCTTCTCTGCCAATTATTTTGGGAAAAACTTCTTTTCTTTTTTTTAGATGAATTTTTTTTATTTTTTATTATCTTATTTTTCATGCTGATTATGAAAAGTAACTTGCACTGATTTTTTTTTCCATTTTTAT